TGGCCAGTGTCTCTGCACCAACCCTTCCCTGCTCACCACGAGGGGCAGCCTGGAAGCTTATTCCTTATCCTACCAGAGATCCTGGATCTCTCCCTCGTCCTTTTTATCGTTCCCCAAACCCCTGCTCGCCCAGTGCCTGGGTTTGTGCTTGCTGGACCCATCCCCTCTGCAGGACAGGAGACCCCGGGAACGTCCAGCTCGTAGCAGGAGTTTGGTGGCACTTCAGCCTGGAGCTGGCGTTGGATGAATGAGGGGATGGGGGAGAGGTTTTGGTGATGGGTATCGTGGTGAGATACCGCGTGTTTCTTTTGCAGGACGAGACTCTGGGTACAATTCAAGTGTCCCAGCTTCCCACGGGGAAGAGGCAAATCTGTACGAGGAGCCGCCAGACACCTCAGCCATCTATGAAGAACCCCCTCAGGTTGGTGCACCGGGGAGGATAGAGGACCCCAGTGGGGAAAAGGGCACCCAAGAGCTGGCCAGGATCCTCGTGCGAGAGAGCAGGGCTTTGTCTCATCTTTCAGGATGAGTCTGGAACCCTTTTACGAGCGTCTCTTCTCCTTGGGTACAAACACTCCAGTGCTTGGAGCCCAGCTGCCTGGGCTGAAATCAGTAGGACACAGAAACCCCAGAGCTTGCACACGCTCGGGCGCTTCTGCGCGGCGAGGGGATGCTGCTGCATCCCATCCCAGTGCTGGCAGCGAGAGGTGCTGGTGCTGAGCCCCCGTCACCCATCCCACACCCTGGGGTGCTCCGGCTGGGGTCACTGCCCCCCAGCCCTGGAGCCCCAGGAGGGGGCAAGGGGAGAGCCTCTCATCAGCCTCTTTGCCAAAGCGCTTTCCCCCCCATCTTCCGCTTCTTTGCGCGTCCCAAATCAGCGGAGCCAACAAAGCCCAGCTGTTCTTGGCGTGCTCCGTCAGATTCTCCAGCATCTTGTGTCATGCTGCAGTGTTTCCCTTGGAGATGTGGTGACTGTTTAGTTTCCTCTTCTTTATTCATCCCTCTTGTGTCCGTCCCCCCCCCCCCCTCACAAAACCGTAAGCATTTCGAATATACTTAATTTTCTCGTTCTCGAATTTGTCTGGAAGTGCCTGGTTGGTCCAAAAAGGAGCAGGAGATGGGCTGAGCGACTGCCTCGGTCTTTCTCTATGAAAGAAAAGTAAAAAGCAGCCAGCTCAGGTCTCAAAATAGTAATGAGGGAAATGCTTGGGAAAGTGGAGTTGGAGCTTGGCCAGTTTCAACAGGCTTGAACGTGGGGGTGATGAACTGTCTGCAGCAGAGACCCGGGGGAACAGCTCCCAGAAGGGTCGACTGCTGCTGCTCTCTGGTGTGTCTGGTCGTGGTGCTGGCCGCCGGGCCGGGGTCGGTGCCGGTTTGGGAGCCCAACCAGCGAGCTGGCCACCTCCACTACTTGGTGCGAGGCTGGTTTGTACGCTCATCTCCTTTGTCTCCTGGCAGAGTCGTGTGGCACGACCTTCCCAGAGCCAGTGTTTCTATTCCGGGGGGGTGTGTGTATGTGTGTGTGTGTGGTGTCCAGGACCAGCTGCACACAGTTCTCCAAGGCCTGGGGAGCTAATCCAAACCTCTGGGCGTTGCACAGGGTCGTATTCCCCCTTCCCACCGTTTTCTCCTGCAATTCCTGGCGTGCAACACCTCCCAACCCACCCGGGAAACCAAGTGAGGCTGCAAGAAGCAGAGCAGGGCGATGAGCACCGTGTGGGGCGTGCGGGGCGGCGACACCCCGGACCGCAGAGCCTCGCTGCGGCTAATGAAGCACGAGCTGCCTCGTTCACGCTGATAACTCCTTTTCTGCCTCTCTCCTTCCTGAAGGAACAAGTTGATGATGCCAAATATGACTACCCAGTCGAGTACCAGCAGCCACCAGACCTGACGGGGAAGGGGCTGTGTGCCCGGGCACTCTACGACTATCAGGCTGGTAAGACCTGCAGAGCTCTGGCTTTCCCTCGGAACTGGGCCGGGTTTGCTGGACCCAGTTTGCCCCTGGAGAGCTGGACTGGAGACTTCACCCCTCACACTGAGCGATCCCACATCAGCGTGCTAGATAAAGCGTCTTCCACTCAAACTGGAGCTGGAAAAGGAACCGAAGGAAGCCATTGGCTTCTATTTTTTTTTTTTTTTTTTTTTTTTTTTTCCCTGGACATCTGCTTCTCACTCACCTCCCTGTCTTCCCTCCCTGCCTCCTGCCTCGGAGCCTGTTTTACCCAGATAGTCACATCTTACTGTTTACTGGGCCCCCCCCCCCTTTCCCAGCAGCAGTGGGGCTGAGCTGCCCTTGCTTTCTGCTGCTGTAAAACCACCCGTCTGCCGTGAGAAGCGGCTGTCGAGGGGTTTGGGCTCCAGCAGGACGCAGCCCCCAGGGAAGCTGGCTGTGTCACAGGCACCTTTCTTTGAACGAGGGGGTGGTCCGGCAGCGGGGCCACACACCCGGGTGTGTGCCCAGGAGGGACGGCTGAGGCAGGTGGGGGGGTCTCAGCATCTCCAGCTGGGTTCAGGTTGGTTTTAACCCCCCTCCCTCGCTCTGTCTTGTTCCAGCTGATGACACCGAGATCTCGTTTGATCCGGAGAACATCATCACCAACATTGAGATGATCGATGAAGGCTGGTGGCGCGGCTACGGTCCCGACGGCCACTTCGGCATGTTCCCTGCCAATTATGTGGAACTGATATAGTAAGGGGGTCGGCAGGGGCCTCAGGGACCAGAGCTGCTCCGTCCCTCCAGGAGCACTTGGCTCCAGCCTGATTCTTCCAATTGATGTGTGGCTTTTATTTCTTCTTTTTTATTTTTTTTTATTTTTTTTTTTTCCCTCCAAGTGAAGTGCCATTGCCCTGCTCCCTCAGCAGCGGGGCTGACCCAGGCGCTGCTCTACTCCGCCCTCTCCCATCCCCTGTAGCCGGCCCTTGGTCGGGGTGAAGGGTCTGATCCCATCCTGAGCCCCTGCAGTGCTGATCTCCCCCCTCCTCCCTCTGGTTTGGAGTGTGAATTCTCTTTCAGGGCTGAAGGAGGGGATGACAAATCCCTTACTGGGCATATTCAGGGAACAAGTTGCCTCTCCCCCCCCGCGCTTCCTCTGACCCCGTGGCCTTGGAACCAGTGTGGTCCCAACAGAGAAACCGCTTTCCCCCTCTCAGCTCGCTGACAAAGCTCACCAGGTTGATTTTAGTGTCTCACAGGGTCAAACAGCCGAAACCTGGCTCCGCAGTGTTGCCACCACCACCCCGAGCATCCCAGAGCTCGCCACCGGCACTGCCATGAGCGGCCCTGAGTTTTCCTCCCAGCTGTCCCCACCAGAGGGGTTTTCTCTGCTCTTTCCTCTCCCTAAACCATGTTTCAGGGCTTTGTGAGCAAGCTCTCCTGCAGAGGAGATCCAATGAGGCCAAAGTGGGTAGTTTAGGTGGGTGTTTTTTTCTTTTTGTTTGTTTTTTTATTTGTGTTTTTTTTTTTTTAAGCAAAACCTGTGAGTGTGGGATCCCTCCCCCCCTCCGTCACCCCAGATTCACTGTGAACAAGGAAGAGCCCAGCCCAGCTGCCACCTACCCCCCCGCCTTGTTGAGTTTCTTCCCTCACTGTAGAAGTAGCAGGAGAGGATGGGGTTTGGAGGTGCCAGGGGTCCTGGCTCACCTACCCCTCCCGCGGGCACTGGGGGACACTGCAGCTCCCCTGAGCCTGTCCCCCCCCACCCCAGACTCCCCTGGGCTCCTTTCCCGCCGCTCACTCCTCCCGTGCTGTCCCCGTCCCCCCCCCAGCACCAATAAAAGGGCTTTTCTTTGGTGATGGATGCAGCAGGATCCGGCTGTGCGGCCCTGGGCAGGAATTGGGGTGAAATGCCGGTGTTTTGGCATAGGGTCGGGCAGAGCTCCTCTGTCAGCCGGGAGCGCTGACGAGAAATCTTAACAAGGTGAAGATGAGCCGTGCGTGGGAATCGAGTGTTTTTGCAGCGGGTCACTGTGACCAGGCTCGTGCTCCAGAGAGGGGGAGCGAAGGCAGGGATATGGGTCTGGGTGGCCCGGGGGGTGTAGAGGGGCTTTAGGGGTGTTTTGGGGGGACACTGAGGGCATTGGGGATGCAGGGGGGTGGCGACATCAGGGACGCCCGGGTGAGGGGCCCTCGGGGCTGCAGGTGCCAGCCGTGCCAGGATACGGGATTTGGAGACGGGAGGGAACCAGGGCTGGGGGTCAGGTGTTCACATGAGGGCCAGGACTCCTCTGTCCCCTTGGCACCCGTGGGTGCTGCCAGCCCCTGGGGCCATCGCACAGCAGTGGGCATCGCCCCGTGGGGCAGAGGCCTGGCACGCTCGTGGCACAAGTGGCCCCACAGACGGTGTGTGGGGTGGCTTCACGCCGGGGTGATGGGGACATCTTCCTGCCACAGCCCTGCCCTGGCTGTGTCCCCTCCTGTCCCCAGCCCTGCCTGTGTCCCCAGGGCTGGCACCACACCCAGAGCAGTGACACAGGACTTGGCACTGTCCCTTCATTCACCAGGGCCTGGATGCAGGGTGGGGGAGACGCGTGGGCACGGGGGGTGGCGTGGGCACAGAGACAGGGTGGCACAGGGTGGGCATGGGGGTAGCAGAGGCACGGCAGCAGTGGGGGTGGGGGGCAGCATTGGGACAGAGTTACTGAGGGCATGGCACAGGCGTGGGGTGGGAGTGACATGAGGGTGGGGATGGCACGGGGATGGGGATGGGGATGGGATGGGGATGGTACAGGGATGGGGATGGCTCAGGGATGGGGATGGCACAGGGATGGGGATGGGGATGGTACAGGGATGGGGATGGGGATGGCATGGGGATGGGGATGGAGATGGGGATGGTGCAGGGGTGGGGATGGGGATGGCACAGGGATGGGGATGGGGATGGCACAGGGATGGGGATGGCATGGGGATGGGGATGGAGATGGGGATGGTGCAGGGGTGGGGATGGGATGGGGATGGTGCAGGGGTGGGGATGGGATGGGGATGGTGCAGGGGTGGGGATGGGATGGGGATGGTGCAGGGGTGGGGATGGGGATGGCACGGGGATGGGGATGGTGCAGGGATGGGGATGGCACAGGCACAGTGTGGGCAAAGCCACAGGGGTGTCATGGGGTTGGCATGGGCTTGGGGGCTGGCACAGAGATGGGAAGGACATGGGAGTGAGGTGGGCAAAGGCACAGGGGTGACACAATGGGGATGGCACAGGCTTGGGGACAGCTGAGCGGGGCGCAGGAGTCAGCAGGGAGGTGGCACAGCTGGCACAAGCCTGGTGACACCCCAGTGCAGGCGCTGGCCCCGTGGGCACCCACTCCCTCACTTCCAGCTGGTGAAGAACTGCTTGAAGAGAGGCGTCTCGTGACCCTGGGGCAGGATTTCCACCTGCCGGGACAGGGACAGGGACCGGGATGGGGTGATGATGTCACCCGTGCCGGCCCCCCCGGGCACCCCTCGCCCCCTGCACCCACCTGTGTCCGGGGCGAGTAGCCCATGCGGGCGATGACCTCCTCGGCCACTTTCAGGGCTGCCTGGCGCTCCTGCTCATTGGCCTTGCGCCCTGCGGCCAGAGACGTCAGAGCCACCTCTGGGGGTGGCCCCTGTCCCTCTGTCCCCCCTGTCCCCGTCCCCGGGCACCTTTCCAGATGTAGACCTTCCCGCCAGCGCCGTTGTCCAGCACGAAGCAGTCGTCGGTGCAGAGCAGGCTCTGGCTGAAGGGGCTGCTCGCGGCCACCTGGCTCAGGTCCATGCGCCCTGTTGCATCCGACACCTGCCCAGGGAGACGGGACGTCGCTGCGGGGCCACCCTGGGGTCCCTTGGCCGTGCCCAGCCCTGCGTCCTCCTGCACAGCCACTGCAGCATTCCCCATCCGTGCCCTGCTCCATGGCCACCGTGGTGGCCCCCGGCCATGCCCGACCCTATATAACCCCTGAGACCACCCATGGTGGCCCCCGGCCATGCCCGACCCTATATAACCCCTGAGACCACCCATGGTGGCCCCCGGCCATGCCCGACCCTATATAACCCCTGAGACCACCCATGGTGGCCCCCGGCCATGCCTGACCCTATATAACCCCTGAGACCACTGTGGTGGCCCCTGGCCATGCCTGACCCTATATAACCCCTGAGACCACCCATGGTGGCCCCCGGCCATGCCCAGCTCCATGTGGCTCTCCTAGGGCCACCACAGTGGCCCCTGGCCACACCCAGCCCCATATCCCTCTGAGGGCCACCGTGGTGTCCCCTGGCCATGCCCAACCCTGGAGCCACCGTGGTGGCACTCAGCAATGTCTAGCACTGGGGACACTGGGGACACTGGGGACACCTTGCCTTGTAGAGGACAGCTGCCCCCGTGTTTCTCTGGTCGGCCACGGCATCGTCCTCGGGGCTGCCCTCCTGCAAGGCAGGCTTGGGGCCCAGCACCTGCCGGGTGAAAAGAGAGGGGGTATCACAGAGACCCCTCCCCAGTGACACGCGGGTCCCCCTCTCCTTCCAGAGGGGACGTCGGGGCCCCGCCACACCTGGAGCATCTCAGGTGGCTCCTCGCCGTCCACCACGATCTCCAGGCGAGCCTTGCCGCCCCTCTCGCCGTCCCGGATGGCTGCGGCCAGCTCCTGGGCCCTGCTGCGCTCCAGCACGTTGCACTTGGCCCCACACCAGATGAAGAGGGTCTGGGGACAGGGAGAGGGACGGTGGTGACGGAGCCATCCCACGGTGGGCCCCCCAACCCACCTCACCCAGCTTGAGGATGGAGCAGCCGCTGGGGTTGAAGCCGGCACAGGGAGATGGGCCGGTGGGCAGATGGGACACCCCAACAGACGGACACCCAGACAGACAGAGACCCCTATAGACAGGGAGACACCCCAACGGGTTGATGGACACCCTAAGAGACAGACAGACACTCCTATGGATAGACAGATCACCAAATGGATGGCTGGACACCTGAAAGGACAGACAGACAGACATCCCAGCAGATAAGACACCCAGAAAGTGAGGCAGACACCTCTATGGACACTGACAGACAGACGGACACCCCAACAGATGGACACCCAGACAGACAGAGACCCCTATAGACAGGGAGACACCCCAACGGGTTGATGGACACCCCAAGAGACAGACAGATCACCAAATGGATGGCTGGACACCTGAAAGGACAGACAGACAGACATCCCAGCAGATAAGACACCCGGAAAGTGAGGCAGACACCTCTATGGACACTCTGACAGACAGACGGACACCCCAACAGATGGACACCCAGAAGGCCAGCCAGCCAGCCGTACGGATGGACAGATGCCCCCCCATGAAGAGGGACACCCCAGTGAGCTGCTGGCCACCCCAGAGGACAGATGGACACCCAGAAGGACGCGTTGCCCTTCGCCCCGCCCCAGGGGAGAAGGCTCTGGGGGGCCAGGGCAAGGGGCGGTGGGGGCAGGGCCCCCCAGCGCCCCCCACCCACCTCGCCCAGGTCAAGGATGAAGCAGTCGCCGGTGTTGAAGCTGGCCCAGCTCAGCTCCCGCTCGCTCGCCCGGATGTTTTTCTTGCCCTTCACCTGGTAGAGTTTGCGCGCGGGGCCGGCGCTGGGGCGGGTGGGCTTGAACGCCGAGTCCACGCCACCCTCCTGCCGGCACAGGGATGCTGAGCGCTCGGCGGGGTGCCCAGCACCCCCCAGGGATGACTTAGGCACCCGGCATGGAGGGTGAGCACCCGGAGGAGATGCTGAGCACCCAGAGGGATGCTGAGCACCCGGAGGAGATGCTGAGCACCCATCAGAGCTACTGAGCACCCAGAGGGATGCTGAGCACCCAGCAGAGCTACTGAGCATCCAGAGGAGATGCTGAGCACCCAGAGGGATGCTGAGCACCCAGAGGGATGCTGAGCACCCGGAGGAGATGCTGAGCACCCAGCAGAGCTACTGAGCATCCAGAGGAGATGCTGAGCACCCAGAGGAGATGCTGAGCACCCGGAGGAGATGCTGAGCACCCAGAGGGATGCTGAGCACCCGGAGGAGATGCTGAGCACGCACCAGGGATGCTGAGCACCCAGAGGAGATGCTGAGCACCCAGAGGAGATGCTGAGCACCCAGAGGGATGCTGAGCACCCGGAGGAGATGCTGAGCACGCACCAGGGATGCTGAGCACCCAGCAGAGTTACTGAGCACCCAGAGAAGATGCTGAGCACTCAGCAGAGCTACTGAGCATCCAGAGGAGATGCTGAGCACCCAGAGGGATGCTGAGCACCCAGAGGAGATGCTGAGCACCCATCAGAGCTACTGAGCACCCAGAGGGATGCTGAGCACCCGGAGAAGATGCTGAGCACCCAGAGGAGATGCTGAGCACCCAGAGGAGATGCTGAGCACCCACCAGGGAGGCTGAGCACCTACTGGGGGATGCCCAGCACCCAGAGAGGATCCCACATACTCAGTGGGGAATAAGCAGGGCGGTGAGGGTGCTGAGAGCTCAGCGGTGATGCTGAGCACCCACGGGAGACGCTGAGCGCTGGGAGCACCCCGAGCACCCATGAGGGACGCCCAGCACCCGTTACCTGGTAGGTGACGCCACGGGGGAAGTACTCCATGAAGACGTCGGACTCGTTGCCCTGCACCTCGCGGTGGGTGACGGGGCGCTCGCCCAGCAGCGCGTTCAGCTGGGTGGAGAGGAGGGCGCAGGCGCCCTGCTCGTCCCGCGAGGAGTCCCGGCCTGCGGCGGCAGCCAGCGCTGACTCCCCCCGAGTCCCACCGCCACCCCGCTGTGACCCGACACCCCCCTCAAACCCCCCCCCCCCCCCAAAAAAAAAAAAAAAGGGCTCACCCATCCAGAGGTGGAGGTGGGCTCGCTCCTCCGGCCCGTTGTGCAGCACCAGGTAGGCATCCCCCGAGAAGAAGACACCCCGCGTCGCCTCAGGGACCTCCACCGGCCGCAGCTTCTCCACCCGCCAGATGTGCAGCCCCGGGCGGGTGGCGGAGGGGCCAAAGGGGGAACCGCTGTGGGGCGAGGGGTGCTGTGAGCTGGGGGGGGGGGGGAGTGCGGGGGGAGCTGTGGGGGAGAGGGGGGTGGTACCTTTTGGGGAGCGCGGTGTACATGGCGGTGGGGAGGTGGTGACGGGAGGGAGGGGCGGATCTGCGGATGGAGGGGCACCATGAGCTGGTCAGCGCAAGGGCTGGGCAGGTCAAGGACACCCTGACAAGGAGGTGGATGCCCCGACGGACACCCAGGACAGACAGACACCCCGATGGGACACCCCGACAGACAGATGGACACCCCGACAGGGAGGTGGATGCCCCAGTGAACAGATGGACACCCGGGATGTACAGACACCCCGAGGTACAAATGGATGCCCCTGTGGGTAGTTGCCACCCCCATGGACAGACGGACACCCCAATAAATGGACACCCAGGAAGACAGACAGACAGACGCCCCAATGGCCGGATGGACCCTGATGGACAGCGGGACATTCAGAAGGACAGCCGGCCAGCCCTACAAACAGACAGGTACCCTGATGGATAGGTGGACTCCTGGAAGGACAGACAGACACCCCTGTGGGTGGGAACCTCCCAGGACAGACAGATGGACGCCCCCCTTCTCCTCCCCAGAGGAATACATCCCACGACAGACAGATGGACACCCCAAAGGACACCCAGGTGGACAGACAGACACCCTGACAGACACACCCTCCCCCCCTCCCCACCGAGCGATGGACAACCGACCGCACGGACGGACGGACAGACAGACAGACAGGCGGAGATCCCTAGGCGCAGCCGGCTGGCCCCTGGCTCAGGCCGATGGCAGCGGGCTGCGGCAGGACAGACGGACGCCCCAACAGCCACGGAGCACCCGGAAGGCGGCAGCGGTGACTCAGGCGGCAGGAAAGGGTGGGGACGCCGGGGGGGGGGGGGGGACGGGCCTGACCCCGCGTGGGCCCCCCCCCAGAGGGAGGCATGTGGCCTCGAGTGGGGCTCCTCACACTAGGGATGGGGGGCACCGAGCCCTGGGCCCCCCATCCTTCTGAAGCCCCCCCCTCCCCCCCCGGGACGGTTCCACGCCCCCCCCCCCCCCCGTACCCCCACCCTGCTGGCACCCAGTGTCACCCAAGGGACCGAGGGCCACCCGTGGACCAATTGCCCCCCCCCGCAGGGGGGTCCCGTCTCTCTGCCCTGTCAGGGGCTGGGGCAGGGCTGGGGGTCTGTGGGGGGGCTGTACTGGGAAGGGGGGGCCTGTACTGGGGGAGGGGATTCTACTGGGGGAGGGGGAGGATGAACTGGGAGCTGTAGTCTGGGAGGTGTACTGGTGGGGCTGTACTGGGAGGAGGTTGTACCGGGAGGGGGCTCTACTGGGGGGGGGGGGACTGTACGGGGTAGTCTATATAGGTGGCTGCACTGGGGGAGGGATTACTGGGGGCTGTGCTGGTGGGGCTGCGCTGGGAAGGGGCTGTACTGGGAATGGGGGGGCTATAGTGGGTGGGGACTATACTGGGGGGGCTGTACTGGGGGGGCTGTACTGGGGAGGCTGTACTGGGGAGTGGGTGGGATATACTGGGACCTGCACTGGGAGGTGTTTGTACTTGAGGGGCTGTACTGGGCGTGCTGTACTGGGGGGGCTGTACTGGGGGGGCTGTACTGGGGGTCTGTACTGAGGGGCTGTACTGGGGAGGGGATGTACTGGGGGGGCTGTACTGGGCGGGCTGTACTGGGGGGGCTGTACTGGGGGGGCTGTACTGGGAGGGATGTACTGGGGGGCTGTACTGGGAGGGCTGTACTGGGGGGGCTGTACTGGGGGGGCTGTACTGGGGGGGCTGTACTGGGAGGGATGTACTGGAGGGATGTACTGGGGGGGGCTGTACTGGGAGGGATGTACTGGGGAGGCTGTACTGGGGGGGCTGTACTGAGGGCTGTGCTAGGGGAGCAGTAACGGGTTGGGGAGGCTGTACTGGGAGCAGAGCTGGAAGGGGGGGCGCTACTGGGGGGCTGCATGGGAGGAGAGAAGGGGCTGCAGCAGCCGCTCGCTGGGAGGCACTGGGAGCTGCCCTGGGAGGCAGATGGCGGGGGCTCCCCCCCGCCCAGCTCCCCGCAGGCCCCAGCCGCAGCATTGCTGGGAAGTGACTCATGGCTGGGGGGGGGCCACGCGTGTGACGAGTGCGGGCGGCCTGAGCCCGCCACGTGGCCCCACCAGCCACCGCACGGCCCGGGGAGCCTGCGGGGCCAGGGCGGGTGGGGGGCACCCGCTGCACCCCCCGCAGCACTCTGGGTGCCACCCAGGGTGGGGGGGGATGGACGGGGGGGGGGGGCGTGCACCCCACCCCGGGGGAGCAGGGGCGTCAGGGAGGTCATGTGTGTGTGGTGTGTGTCCCGTGTACAGCGCGCTGCTCCATGCCGCGGCGGGGTTCCCATGCGCAGCACGTGCAGTGTCACGCGTGCAGCGTGCGTGTCCGGCGCTGCGTGTGTGGTCTGTCCGTCTGTCTGTGTGCCGGGCTTGTCCGCACCCGGGGAGCCACGTGCCCGTGCAGTGCCGGGGTGCAGTGCCTGCAGTGGGCGTGCGAAGGGCCGTGCCCGTGCCCGTGCAGTGCCGGAGCAGTGCCGGTGCAGTGCCAGGGCAGTGCCGGAGCAGTGCCGGAGCAGTGCCGGTGCAGTGCCGGCGCAGTGTCGGCGCAGTGCCGGTGCAGTGCTGGTGCAGTGCCGGAGCAGTGCCAGTGCAGTGCTGGCGTAGTGCCGGCACAGTGCCGGGGCAGTGCTGGAGCAGTGCTGGTGCAGTGCCGGTGCCGGTGCAGTGCCGGTGCAGTGTTGGTGCAGTGCCAGTGCAATGCCGGTGCGGTGCCGGTGCCGGTGCAGTGCTGGCTCCCCCACCGTGCCGTGCCAGCTCCCACACAGTGCCGGAGCTGAGGCCATGCTGGTTTGCCATGCAGTGCTGGCCCTGTGCAGTGCCACTGCAGTGTTGGTCCCCGCGCAGTGCCAACCCTCCTGCAATCCATACCCCATACAGTGCCAGTGCAGCACTGGTCCCCAACCAGTACAGGGCCCTGTGCAGGGCCGGGCCCCAGGCAGTGTGGCTCCCAAGCAGTGCCAGTGCAGTGCCAGTCCCCGTGCAGTGCCGGTGCAGTCCTGGTTGCGTGCTGGTGCAGTGTGGGTTCTCGTGCAGTGCTGGTGCTGGTGCAGTGTCGGTCCCATGCGCTGCTGGTGCCATCCCAGTTGTGTGCTGGTGCAGTGCCAGTGCCCGTGCAGTGCCGGTGCAGTGATGGCTGTGTGACAGTGCAGTGCCAGTGCTGGTCCCCATGCAATGCCAGTCCCTGTGCAGTGCTGGTGCCAGTGCTGCAGTTCCAGTGCCAGTCCCAGTGCAGTTCCAGTGCCAGTCCCAGTGCAGTGCCAGTGCTGGTCCCCATGCAGTGCCAGTGCTGGTCCCCATGCAGTGCCAGTGCCAGTACAGTGTCAGTGCTGGTGCCAGTGCCAGTCCTGGTGCAGTCCCGGTGCCAGTGTTGGTGCAGTGCCCATGCAGTGTCGGTGCAGTGCCAGTGCCAGTGGTAGCGCATTGTCCGTGCAGTGTTGGTCCCCGTGCAGTGCCCGTGCAGTGCCAGTGCCCGTGCAGTCCCGGTGCTGATGCCCGTGCAGTGCCAGTGCCCATGCAGTGCCGGTGCCAGTCCCGGTGCCGGTGCCCGTGCAGTGCCGGTGCAGTGCCAGTCCCGGTGCCAGTCCCCGTGCAGTGCCGGTGCAGTGCCAGTCTCCGTGCGGTGCCGGTGCCAGTCCCGGTGCCGGTGCCAGTGCAGTGCTGGTGCAGTGCCAGTCCCGGTGCCAGTCCCCGTGCGGTGCCGGTGCCAGTCCCGGTGCCGGTGCCAGTGCAGTGCTGGTGCAGTGCCAGTCCTGGTGCCGGTGCCCGTGCAGTGCCGGTGCAGTGCCAGTCCCCGTGCAGTGCCGATGCCAGTCCCGGTGCCGGTGCCAGTGCAGTGCTGGTGCAGTGCCAGTCCCGGTGCCAGTCCCGGTGCCCGTGCAGTGCCGGTGCAGTGCCAGTCCCGGTGCCGGTGCCGGTGCCGAGCGGGTCGCGTTCTGAGCCGCCTCAGGCCGGTGCCGCCCCCGGCTCCTGTGCCCGCCCCCAGCCCGCCCGCCCGGTGCTCTCCGGGGCCGGGGCCGGGGCCGGGGCCGGGGCCGGGGCCGGGGCCGGTGCGGCGGACGCGGCGATGGGGCTGGCGGGGCCGCCCCGCTCCTGCCTCCTGCTGACGGCCGCGCTGCTGCCGCTGCTGCCGCCCGGGGCCGCCCCGGGCCCCGCCGCGCCGCCCGCGCTCACCGACTCCGAGATCGAGGAGTTTCTGCGCGGTTTCCTCGGCCCCGGGGATGGGGACGGCGACGGCGACGGCGGCGGGGGGGGGGAGCGGGAAGGCACCGAGCTCGGCTTCGGCACCGACCCTGGCACCGGCACCGGCACCGGTGAGCGAGCGGTACCGGGCACCGCGGCTCGGGGCTGCCCCGGGTCCCCCCCCTGGGGGGGGGGGGGGGGGCGGCGGGAGGTGGGGACCCCCCACCCCGGCCCTGGGCGCTCCTCACCCCGCGGCGGGGCGGCTGCCCCCCCCCCCCCCCAACCCCCTCCAGGCTCCCCGGGGCGGCTGACGGAGCCCGAGAAACCCAAGAAGGGGAAGAAGGAAAAATCTCCCAAACCCACCAAGAAGCCCAAGGAGAGACCCCGAGGCTCCAAGAAGGACAAGGACAAGGACCGGGACAGGGGCAAGGACAAGCCCCCCAAGAAGCCCAAGGAGAAGCCCACAAAAGGCTCCGAAAAACCCCCAAAAGGCTCCAAAAAGCCCAAAGAGAAGCCACCCAAGGCCACCAAAAAGCCCTCTGGCAAAAAGCCACCAGAGCCACCGACCAGTCCGCCACAGCCCCCCACCACCCCACAGCCCCCACCGGGCAAGGATGATGTGGGGACACCCCGGTTCCAGGAGCAGCCTTCACCTTATGAGGAGGAGGAGGATGGAGGTGGCCGAGGTGAGTCTTGGGGGGGCCCCAGGTCACCACCAGCTCGTTTTGGGGGGGGGGGGGGTTGGCACACCATGGCATCACCCCCTGTCCCACTCGGCTCCCCAGTGGCACCCCATGGCTGACTGGGCTTTGTCTCCCTGGGGTCACCCCCTCTGCTTCCCCCAGACTTTCTCCCCGATGGGATTTTCTTTCTGGTGTGGGGCCGGGGGGGGGGGGGGGGGGGGGCCGTGGGACACCGCCAGCCCCTCGCTCTGTGTCCGTTTCCCCAGGGGAGGTGGAGGAGCCACCAAGCGAGCCCTGGGAGCTGGGCCGGGAGGACTGGCACCCCGAGCCCAAAGCTGGTGAGTGTCCCATCCCCGGGGCCACCTCCCTGAGTTGCAGTGTCACCTCCCCGGTCCCACTGCCACCTCCCCGCTCCCCGGGGCCACCCTCTGCGCCCCTTCCCCATGTGCCCCCTCCCCGCAGAGGTCCCCGAGGAGCCGGAGCCGCCGACGCTGGACTACAACGAGCAGCTGGAGCGGGAGGACTACGAGGACTGTACGGTGCTGGGGCACGGGCAGGGGGGACCACTGGGGTCCCCCGGGCTGCAGGGAGGGAGGGGGGGCATTGCCTCCCTACCCCTCCGCCTCACACCCTCAAAGTCAGTGCCACCCCCTCTTTCTGTCCCCAGTCGAGTACATCCGGCGGCAGCAGAAACCCCGCAAGCCCCCCAGAAGGAAGAAACCCGAGAGAGTCTGGCCCCAGCCCGAGGAGCCATGTAAGTGGGGTGACAGGGGGGACGAGGAGGGGGCAGGTGCTGCCTTGGGGACCTGGGGAGCATCATTTTGGGGCAACCTGGAGCTGGGGTGAGCACAGGGAGAGCATAGAGGGGCTCGTATAAGGGGTGCGGGGGACCCCAGGGGGGGCATGGGGACCCTGTGGGGATAGAAAGGGGTCTTGTGGGG